CATAAAAAAAAAAAAAAAAAAAAAAAAAAAAAAAAAAAAAATTTTTTTTTTTTTTTTTTAACTTATACCAAAAACATTTATCTTTTTTTTTTCCTCCCATCAACTGGCGATGAGGGCATCTTGTCGCATTTTGATTTTGCATGCCACTGCAGCGCTAAAGGCCTGCACTAGAGCTTTTTTATCACCTCCTGGAAGAAGGCCTCCTCAGCGTGGGCTGTGGCATGTTCGTCCTCCATGTAGCCCTTCAGAGGCTCTGCGTTGCCACCCGCTGTGTCCACTCTGAAACACAGGAGCGTTTTGTTCCTGCCCGATGAATACTCCACGTTCCTGAACTGAAACTTGAAGTAGAACGGGCTCATCCTCTCCCTGATAGACAGACAGTAAGAGTTATCACCACATCGGACGCAGAGTGTGTTTGCTCATCAAGGAATTCGCAAACTACCGGTTCACAATAATACTGGTTCCTTCTGACTGTCAGAGATACATCACTCTGTTATATTGTCACATAAAGTCTCCATCAGTATACTAGGTAACTAATCTGATATGTGTCACATTCTCTCTTTGCTTTGCGCCATTAATCTGTCATGATGCATACAAACAGCCAGATGGTCTCACGTAAAGATCTACTACTTTGATAATAAAATGTCTCAAACAACAGAGATTGGGGAGCAGATGCTGGGTATAATGATATGGCCAAACTTGGTGTTTGCATGACTCATCTCTATTTTTACTGTTAGGAAGTTAAGAGACAGCAGGTGCAAATGACTCGTATCCCGCCTCACTAAAAAAACAAAAAAAAAAAACTGTTTCCAAACTACTAATCAGAATATAGCCAGAAATCTCACTCACCCAGTGACAATTTCAAAAGGAGGCAGCTCTATGGGCTGAAACTCTCCATTATCCTCACTGTTATTTGCTGCTGCCCCTGTTGCCCCTTCGCTTTCACCGTTTGTCTTGTTCTCGTCGGTCCTCTGCGGCTCCGGGGCGTTCTCTTGCTTTTTGCTGAGCTTGTCTGTTGTTTTTACAGCCTTCTCTTTGGCCTTTTCCTTGTCCTCCTTCTCATTTGCTTTGGTTTCTGGCGCTTTCTCCTTCCTACGAACGCCTAACCGGTTGGTTCTGTCGGCCATGATGGTGTGGAAGTAGGTTGGAGTGTTGGGAAAAGAGACGATGCGACAGAAATAGATAGAGGGAGAGAGTCAGTGCAAGTGGGGTGATAACCCTAGAGCAGTTACAGAAATAGACCCCATTGTGTGCTGAGTTAGGGGTCAAGCATGTGCATGTCTGGTCTGGTGCTGGGCCAGGCAGCTCAGTTAGCTGAGCCCTCTCCACCCCCTTTCCCATGGCCAGGCTCAGAAAAGGCCAAAGGGCGGATCACGACAGAGTAAATGTGTATGGTAGGGAGAAGATTTTTTTATTTATTTATTTTTTTGTTAATTCCACCACCTTTCACACAGTTGCCAAAGCAAACAGAGAAACATACACAAACTCTGTTCCATCTTTAATCCTTCAGCCGTTCTATCTGTCAACAGGCAGGCAACAGGCACGTTATTAATAACATTGCTTGGCTGCACATATGGGGTAACCGGGGTTATTTCGATACCGAGCACAACTTTTTTTCTTGGTGCCAACTCTGAAGTCCTGCAGCGCATCAGGCATTATGGAGGCCACCTAAAGGGCACTAAAAACAGGAGCGTATTTGGAGCAAGGTATAGTTTGAACAAACACAATGTGCGTGGAGTGCAGAGTGGTCCTATACGCGTATGCGCCTGTGAGCAATCAATCTATGAAATCACCCCGCATTGAGGGGAGGACCAGTTTGATGAGGGTGCGTGTGTGCGCAGATGGAAAATGTCACCCTGCACTGCAGATATAATAACTTGAGGGGAAAGAGAGAGAGAGAGAGAGAGAGAGAGAGAGAGAGAGGCAAGAGGAGTAAAGCGAGGTGGGGGCAGTTCAATTACAATTTCCTTCCCTCCCTCTGTCTAGCTCTCTGCCAAGTAATTCATTTCTGAGGCAATTACCAATAGGGCCGCATCCCGGTCCCGGTCGCCTAACTCAAATGGATGAGCTGTCACAGCCCAGGGGAGTGAGGGAGGCAGGGAGGGCGCAGGCAGGAGAGACGCTTCAAGCTGCTCCAGATACAATCACAAACAATAACAACACACCCAGAGCGCGAGCATTTGTAGCACATCTCGGAGATGAACACAATCACACATCCCATGCACATATCTTGGCTGCCACATCTTCATCTGCAGGGGGCGTCCTGTGGTGGTAATCATTTAGATCGCAGCAACCTCTGATAATAATTATCCGTGAAGGAACTCGTTCTGAAGTGGTTTCTCAGCAGAAACGACAGCGGCTGTGCTGAAACAAAGCTACTTCTGCGTGCGGTCACTTTCCAGACTTGCTGATTTTAATCTTTGCTGTAACTTAAGAACATCCCTCTTCTAGCGGGGCCCATTTGTGAGCCTACCTGATGGTGAGAAGAAAGCTGATCTGTTGGCTGTTACAGCCGCCTGCCTGCTGACTCAAATTTTATTTTAACGGCACTATTACAATTACCTCGCCTCCCCGCCGGCCCATCCCCGAATAAAGGATAACGCACTCTGATACAGTCAGGGCTCTTCAAAGCGGACGTGAGACCATTGCTGTGACATGAGTCAAAGCAAAGCCTGTTTTAGAATAAAACAGAAAAGATAAATTGGAGCATACCTACATTCTTATGATATGTTTAAACATTTAAAGACTCTTCATTCTACTTTTATTTAATCGTTTTTGACAAAACATACCTCAGTGTTTAAAACTGAAATGCCTTTATTCTCATGTCCTGGTGTTAAGGTTTACAGTAATTGAGGGAAAGAATGAAGGGATGTATATTTTGATTTGCAGTGAATGTAATCCTTCTCAGGTGACAATGAAGCAATGACCAGCAGCCAGTAGAGTAGCTGTACATACAATCACGAAGAAAAAAAGCCTTACTGTCAATGTAATATTGGGAAAATTTAATTTATCCTTGCTCCTTGTGTAGGATTTAAGAAGGGAAGCTGTACTCGTTTAATCACAAGCATAGATATACAGTATATATTTAATGTAAAGCAAGGTTTATTGCCTGCATAAAAGCAGTTTTGGCAGACTGCAAAGACTTTAAAGAAGCAATTGTTTCTTACCCATCAATCTGAGAAAGGTCACCCGGCAATTTATAAATACATTAACATCCATCGTTTCCAAATTGAGAAAAAAAAAAATCATTCACACATGGAAAGCATTTAAGACACTTTCTAACTATCGAATGCAAATCACACCAACGTCCAGGAGTTATATCTTAGATTTCACTGACAGAAAAGCTGGTTTCTGGAGGTTGAGTAGCTGGGGTTGGTTTCCACTTAAAAACACCCACCAGAATCTGACCGATCACACAATAACTTTGGATGCAGAGGGGGGATGAAAAGTTCGCGAGGGAGATTGTGGCAGGAAGGGGTGGATGATTTAAGGCTGAAAACAAAATGGCACATTTTTTACCACGCAACTGTGACAACGAAAACCAAAGAGTGGGTCAGGATTCAACAACAGCGATGTTAGAAATTGTTAAAATTTTATAGAAAACAATTAAATGTAGTTATTCCCTAATTCCTAAAGTTGGTTCCAGAAGCTTTTAGATCACAGTGTAAACTGATGTTTTATCATGACTGTTTGGACAGCAAATACACTTTTGTTCTCTCCTGACTGTAAGCAAAACTCCAGCAGATAATTCACTAAGCGAAGGTCGGAAACAGACAATAGGAACTTGGTGGTCGTCCGCAGACCCTGAAACGGCAAAATAAGGACAGACGGAGTGAGTATTTTAATCTTGATCTGATCTCAGACGTTTCAACAGTTCATGGTGTGAAAACCCATATGCAGAATATCCACGTCTAAAACCATACTTAAGAAAGGAAGCTAGTTATTTCAGTCTCAAAATAACAGGTGTGTAATTTACTACGTTCCTCACTCAGGTCTCTTCACAGCGACAAATGTGTTTTATTAAAGCAGTCACGTTTCTAAAACCGAAAACCCTCTGGTTGCTCTTCAGATAAAACATGGCTGACTCATAGCTTTAAGTCCACAACAATTTGTAGTTGGCTTTGAGGTAGATGAGTGTCTCCAAGTTCTTTGGTAGGAGGTGGCCTCTCTCTGGCAACAGGAGGCGCCTGGCTGCAGAGAAGATATTCTCCACCACAGTGTCACAAGCAGGTATGGTAAATGCCCTTTTGGCTACTTGAGCTAGCAGAGGAAAGTCAATGGTTTTACGGCGCCAGTAATGCAAAGCCTCTTCATCCGTGGGCTCCTCGTGAAGGTAGACAGATAACTCCTGTTCCAGACTTTTAGCCTGTGTCGCGGGTCTCTGCTTGATAAAAGAGAACAATTTGCAGGGGCGAGACAACGAGGAGACCGGGGATGGCGATGGAGTAGGAAGAGTTTGGGACTGAGGGCTACTGTCTGTGTTGAGGTCGGCCGGGGGAGAGGCTGTGGAATGTTTGGATAATTCCTCTAGGAGAACTTGCTTGTGCCAGTCGGGGTTGCTGCTCCAAGTAAGTTTAAACTGGGGGTCCAGGGTGGTCGCAGTAATGTACAAGGGGTTTTCCAGGATCGGAGCCAGAAGGCGTTCCAGGGACTGGTTTAGGCCAAGCAGGAGGGAGGGGCAGTGGGGAGTTGATGTCTCAGAGAGGTGCTTACGCAGCCCAAGAACACAAGGCAGAGCCAAACTGATGAACACGTGCCTGTCCGGCTGGGTGTCTCTCTGTACGTCTCTGTGCACCATGTCCCAGGCCTCAGTGAAGGGCTCCAAAATGTCAGTGAGTTCCCTCAGCAGGGCTCTTTCTGAGCTACTCAACGCTACCTCCCCGGGACCGCTCACCTCCTCCAGGAACTCCACTGAATCCAACAGCCGCCGCAAGACCTGTAGGGAAAAAAAGTGAAGAAACGAAACAGCTATGAGTTCATATGTCAATAAATTTGCATTATTGATGGACACATGCACATTTTAATCGTACTGTTTCTGGTACATCTAAACACTATTAGTTATGTGAAAGGGTAGGTATGTTGCACTGTCAATTATTGACAATCTAAACTCTTATAATCGCATTATCTCAATATAAAAAATATGTTACGGTGTATGAAGACTACGTGAAGAATCTATTCTGATTGGAAATCCACATTTTTGAAGTTTAAAGATTTCACTGTCTCTGAAACGGGTTCTGCCAGCGTCTCATTCTGCGAAAAGGAGGATTTTACTCTCCAAAGCCGCCCACTACTCTGTGATGTCTAAGGTTGAAATCAAATTAAAGATTCAATGCAATCCACTGGTTTTCTTTATTTAGACCTTTTATGACTTGGCATTATATAAATGTAATTATATGGAATTAGATTACAGTGAAAGACTAATCTTAATTGGATTGGATGGGATTGAATTGGACTGGATAGCATTCGACAGGATTGGATTGTGGCTTAATCAGATTGTCTATAATTGTACTTGAATTTAAACCAGTTTTGATCCTCCGTAAAGCACTCTCAGAAACATTTTGTTGGTGTATGCAAAAATAAATTGCCTTCATTAAACAGAAGGAAAGCTAAAATATGGTGAAATATGTTAATATTTAAGTTCCTTTATTCATGATCGTAATACTATTACTTGCCTTAAGTTGAGCAGCCCAGTCTGTAGCAGTATCGTGAAGGTTTCGGGTTCCCCCGGGCAACCACCCGTCAAACACCTGGATGAGTTTCTCAGGAGGTACAGCGGAGGTAATGTAGTTATAGAAACGTGCGACCTTGGTCAAGGTAGAGGAAATTTGTGGGGAGGAGCGCAACCCCTCCCTGACACATTGTTCCAGAGAGCGAGAGAAACAGTCTACCCGACAAACGCCCAAACCCTGCTCCCATGACTCCCCCCAGTCTTCCTCCTCTCCATTACACTCGTGGCCATTACTGATCCACTGCTCTGCTTTGTTTCCGTTGTCCAGCACTTGATCTGTTGGATCATCATCTTGGCCGTTGGTAAGAACAGGTGGAAGCAGGAAGCCAGGAAGACAACATGGCCTCGCCGTCGCCGGAAAAGGGTCCGCAACGACGCAAAATGCTCTCCCTGACACGCCGTGAGAATGACACACTTCGTCAAAATCCGCCAGCACACGGCTCGCCGAGCTGCTGCAAGTCAGTGGGAGGCAGGCCAGGAGAGCAGAACGTATCTGCCAGTCAGATGCAAGATAATGGCAGGTAACACCGAGGTACCTGCAAAAGAAAGAGAAAGAAGTAGGCCACACAGTTGGGCAATCTAACCATGCTGCTGGTTTATTTTTGTTTTTAGGGTTTATGTTGCCAACTCACCCTGAAGCAGTTTGAGTTTGGCTCCTCCAGAGATCTAAGCTGAGACTGAGGGTGTGTGCTGATGCTACGGCCTGACGTGTAGCCAGCTGAGCCTGGTAAGCGTAGGCAGGGAGAAGCTGTCCCTGGATGTAATGCTGGGGCTCAGGAGTGTAACGGGGCTCCAGGAGCTGCAGCAACTCCCTGAAGCCCTGATTTTCCACAATAGACACCGGCTGCAGATCATGCACGATCATCTTAGCTATTGCCTCGGAGATGAGAACCTACCATAATCCCAAAAAGAAAGAAAGTGTCAAACTTTACATTTTGTACTCACTTTGGATTTCATTGCTCTGCTCCATTTGAGGGGTTTCAGAGGGAGCGTTATTTCAAGGGGTGACAGACATTAACACATACCTGACGGGGGTCATGTCTGTCAAACTTAGTCACCCCTGCTCCAGGGCCCCCTCCTCCTCCCTCAAGGGTGCCCACTCCTCCAACACTCACTAGGGCTCCTCCCCCTGTTCCAGTTGTTACAGGGAGTGTGAAGCGGGGGTTTCCTCCATTGGTTGTGAAACTGTGCAGGCAAGCAGAGGAATAACCCTCTCTCTTCATATCCTTTCTTTTCACAAAGTCATCATACATAGCTGGGTGTTTACGCTGAATGGGAGAGAAACAGGTGTTATTGGATAACATGCTTAATATGTCATATGTGTGTGTGTCAGAGAACAGCATGAAAGTGTACATTTTAGTGGAGAAATGAATAAACTCTCAATAACACAAAAGCAACAGTCTGTCTTTGCTGATCCAGCAACTGAAGAGACATTGGACCAGCTGATCACACCGGACATCATTTATTTATTTCTGCAATAGGATTTTTGACACATTACCTTAAGATGTGTAACGAAGTTGGACGTAACGCTCCGTTTCGCCTGGATTCTGGTGCCACAAGCCTTGCAGTTGGACTCGATTTTACCATTTTCCCCCTCGAACACAATATTGAAATAATCCAGGATAGACACTTTCGAAACTGACGCCATTGGAGCGAACAGCTGCTCTGCTCCGGAGTGAAATCAGCTGGCGGTCCGAGTCCGAGGAATCAGCCTCACCTCGCCCCAGATCATGAGCGCAGGCAAGCCGTCGTGTTTACATCCCAGAACCCCCCTCACCTCACCCCGGTATCACGCGTAGAAAAATGATCGCTCCACAGACACAAAGCTAATTGAACTGGAAGGGCTCCCGTTGCTTGCGCATCCAAAATAGGCCACGGTCGAGCTACACAAGCAGCAGCAGCAGCAGCAGCAGCAGCGGCGGATGTCTGGAAACATCAATAACATAACCGTGAGGCAACATCCGTGCTTCCAGCGCTCCCATCCGCCGCTCGGACGCAAGTGAAGCGGAGACAGAGCGAAGAGCTTCATGGAGGAGGCAGACACACACAGCACTGACCCGCTGTGGTCGCTATAGCCGATCTGGATCAGGATGTGCAGCGCAGGTCATGCGTTTTCATACATTCGTCAAATGATAAAAATGTGGTTTATTTGAACTTTTTTATTTATTTTTTTCAATGAGGCAAACTAATCAATACAGTTTCAACTTAAAAAAAAAAAAAAGACGAAGTAGCTATGGCTTGAAATCAAAATTACACAGGATTGTCCAATAAATTTATAGCCTCACTATTTTGATAAATGTTCCTTGACGAGTTGCAGACTTTTAGCTATTAATGACATCCTGGGATAATTTCGACTGAATTTCTGACCACGTTTCTATGCAATATTGACAGAGGTAGTTTGAATTTCTTAGACATGGTATTTTGAACATAAATTGGCAGCTGGTATTATATATTTTAAGTTAGGCCTTTTAAGGTTAAGAATGCAGTAGCCCGTCTACTTACAGACACAAAATGGCAGGAACACATACCTCCTCCAGTTATGACTTCTTTCCATTGCATAGGTCCGTTGTACAATCAACTTGAGCTTTTATTGTTGTTGCCTAAGGTTTTTCTTTAACTTTCCCAGATATAAACTAAAATAGTATAAAGGCAATCAAGGATTTAGCATTTTTGAAGTTGCTCTACCAAAATTATACAAGTTTACCACTCAAAATAAGGAGGGCTGAGAATGTTCTCTGTTTAAAATGAATGCTTACGATAAATTTTACTTTTTGGCTTTTAATTCTAAGAGTCACTGCTGGAACAAAAAGCATTTCCTTACTTTTATTACATGATTTACAATGTTTTCATGCATTATGTGTGTAGAGACTGTTTTGTAAAGCACTTTTGTCAACTTGTGTTTCATACCAAATGAAAGACCTAACAGACATTTAGTGAAAAGAATCTTGATGAATTTTTGAGATTATTATTTTGTTGGAATAATAAAAAAATGATCAAGACCAAATGCTGCGCAACTGGAAGAATTCACCATGTCCGGTATACGACATCAGGGGTCTGTACTTTGACATATGAGGGCTGTTTTGAGAGCAAAAGGGAAGATGCTTTTAAGAAGATAGTGATCATGATATGTGTGATCAATGTACAAAGCTGTACAATTGATACCATGTTAAACCAAATAAGAATGAATCATATAAAGCAATTCAGTAAAAAGTTTCATTTAGCTTCACTAATTTACCTACAGATAAATATTTGTAATCAGTGAAGAAACATTACAAAATGTTACACCAGCATGTCATCCTAACAATTGCATCATTATTTACCTTAATGGTAAAGGGATATAAAATATTTGAACACAAAATGTAGTTGATTCCACATTTATTTAAGCTGTGATGACAATTTGTTAGAATGTTCACAAGTTCACAAGTCTTGGTCAAATTTACAAACTACAACACATTTATATACAAACTCAAATAAGCTACATATTTGCACTAACAACATGGAAAATTAATGAACAATAATTGATGAAGCAGGAACTGTCCAGCCTGTGATTTCCATCTTTAAATCCAGCAATAACTTCTTAAATCATCCAATTCTGACGTTGTGATCTACAAACTCTCATTTGCTGAAGGAACATCCTCTTCCTTCTCATTTAATCCAGCAGAGGCGTTTGCTTCAGGACCAGTCGAGCCGTCATTGTTTCTCAAGTCGCGCTTCAGCTCCTGTCTGGCATTTAAAACCACGATCTGGAGAGCTGCAATCTCAGCTGAAAGCTCTATGACTGCAATGGAACAGACAGGAGAAACTCAATTAAAACCGCGAATTATTCAATGGAATTTATATTTATATTATACAATCGTCGTGGATCCAAAGGTCCATGTTTTAAAATATTCTCACTAATATACCAGTGTGTGTTTAGTAAGCTGTACATTGTGAATGCACAACAACGCTTTGGCAAAAATGTCCTATATTTTAAGCCATACCTTGTTTGAACGATGACTGTGCTTGTTTTAGAGACTGCGGCACCAAAATCCCAAACCACTTTAGTGGGTCCTGCTGAGGATTATGGTCTCTTTTCCTGCCTGGGTTTACCTCAGGAGATTTTTCACTGCTTATATCTTCACTTGTCTTTTTTTCTGCTGTATCACTTTTTGTAGTTTTTCTCCGTCTGATGCCTGTGAAATAAAAATAAGAGTGAAGTCTAAAAGAAAAAGGTTTATAGTAGATATTGCCAGAACACATTTTTCTCAGTGCATCACCTTCTTCTTGAGGGCCAATGTCCTCTATTGGGGTTGGTTCTTTTACAAATTCGTCATTGCATTTTTGTGACGATCTTTCTGCGCAAAATTCTACCTTATCATTCTGCAAGGTTCTGGTACACAGAAATACACAAAACAAAAAGTTAGCGGAAACTGAAAATGCAAAAACTTTGACTTTAAGAACATTTACTTTATTATTCCCCACCTAACATGCACAGAAACCAGTGGCTCCATCTCGTTTGCAAACTGAAGAGCAGAAACCTGCTTGTTTCCCATAGAATAACGGGCCTTGCTTATGGAGAACCACCCCTACGTAGAAGTGGAGAACAGAAGTAAAAATATAAGAATCTATACAAGAGTACAGTGGAAAGAGGTTGAATAATTTTAAGCACTCAGTGAGGCGACTGATAAACAGTTGCATGTACATGTATCTATATATATATATATATATATATATATATATATATATATATATATATATAAAACATCATATTTCTTCAACAATGACGAATGTACTTTGCAAGAAAATACTAAATCACTCAACAACTATGGTATTTAAATGTTTTCTGGTAAGATAAAAAAAAGTAATTTTACTATAAATTCATAAAATACTAAATTGTCCTGATTTAAATCGTTTTAAATATTGTTCTGCAATATCTATCAAGCTTTGGTTAACATCTTAGTTCATTACACAAACTAATAGCTTAAAAACAAATACAATTGCTTCTGAAAATTATAAATTTTTTAGAGTGCGAATGTGGATGCACATTGTGTCATTTTTCTACCTGCTCGATGAGTGAGTTCAGAGTCTTTCGTTTCTCCTCCAGTAACTCGAGCTGATCCATAAAATAAAGCAGCTTTTCATCCAATAAAAGACAAGATTCTTCTGGTCTCAATACACCCATGACGGCTGTTCAGAAAGAAATGTTTTCCGTACAGTTTATATCTCGGCTACCATCAACACCAGATCCACTCAAGACGACGCGTACAACTTCCGTATAGGTGTCACATGACATCGTAAGTCACATGACTGCATTTTTCCTCTGCCACATAGAAGTATGTAATTAACCACATGTCTATGATTAAACTTGCCAACTTTGTGAATATTTAGCAGCATAAGCAAAATATTTTCAGTGTTACGTGATGAAAAACAGCTTATATCGGCAGTAAAAAAAAAAATATTAAAGTTCGCCATGAAATATGTGGTTTTCAATTTTTATATATTTATCACCTAACGACGTACTTAAGTAAAGGTAAAATATTATGGCGAAATATCTAGAATTTCAATATTATTAAAAACATCAGAAGAAACAAAAGGAGTTCCCATACCGGGAGTCGAACCCGGGCCGCCTGGGTGAAAACCAGGAATCCTAACCGCTAGACCATATGGGACTTATATCAGCAATAGTGACATGGGACCTACTAGACAGTTACTGTTACACTCTGGTCGCCATGAGGCAGTAAGTTTGGACCTGTACGCATTTCATGTCCCTGACCCTTGCTGTCTACTGAGCTACAATCCTCAGTCCACACCCTCGTAACCCAACTACGGACAGCTCCATAAATTTCCCTAATGACAGCTCTGTCACTGTGCTACCTCCGTCATTATAATTGATACTGCAGCACACCATTCAAGTTTGAATGGTAAAAAAATGAACGACGTGAAAAACATTTTTATAAAATGCATCTACTGCAGTTATAATATTTGCATTTGTAAAGTCTTTCTGCAACTGTGACTTCCATCTGATAAACGGGTGATATTTAACTACAAAGCTTGTTCATGCCACAGTAAGCTTTACTCCTTCTATGTGTACCTTCAGGCTTCTTTCGAATAGTCTTAATGTAAGTTAAACATTTTTTATAAATTACCCGTGAACTTTACTTCCTGTTTTACTTCACTCATCCCCGCCGAACACTAAACGAGATCATACACCTAGGTTCATAAAGCCAGCTAGAAAAGTACATTTCAGATCCCCCAGTAGCTCGCCGTGATCGTATAGTGGTTAGTACTCTGCGTTGTGGCCGCAGCAACCCCGGTTCGAATCCGGGTCACGGCAGGGATAAAATCCCTGACACGGCTTGGGGGTAACATTTTTTGCTATAATTTGTCTGACTACATAAGTTAAGATTGTACTGTTCATAAAGAAACTAGTAGTATTAAATTGTATCTTCGTGTGTGTGTTTACGTTTCTTGCACATATGTAGTCTCAGTGACTTACTTTAGCCCCATTATGACTTATTTAATATAAAATCTTAATTAAGTACATCCCCAACTCAATGCTCGATGAGCAACAGAATTCTGAAACTGTTCCCCAGTTTCAAAATTCGCAGTTTCAGGATTCTTGTGAATCTGTCATGGTCTGCCGTCTAAGCATGCTTTTTCTTGTTCTTTTTTTTTAATCAAAAGGAGGAGGGTATTTGGTAAAGAATGGCTCCTGTTCATTGGTTGTTTTCGTAAGCAAAGTCCATGTTCCGAGACAAGGAGCCAATCATCTGAACCGTCAGATCGAATGCACGTTTTCATGCGTTCGGCTTCAGCAATTACAGGTTTTCCATTGGTGTTTGTAATCATGAGTTACCGCCCCCCAACTTGACAGACTTCCGTGTTTGAGCTCACGCGTCACACTTTCATGTGGAGCAGTTGGGAATCTGCTGGATATTAATTTTGATTTTGCCCAGTCTTCAGACGTTCTGACAAAAACAGTGTGGCTGGTCCATAACATTGTTAGCATCTCTGGTGAGTTGACCAGCTGATACCAGCTTTTACTTACTGACTTACTTACTTATTTATTTATTTATTTATTCATTATCTTGAACTCTGATTGAAAGATCTGAGAGCTGGAATTGCATTTCAGTAAGGGTAGTAATATTTAAAATTATCACATCTGTATTAATAATAATAATAATAATAATAATAATAATAATAATAATAAAGATAATTCTGTCTTCAAATAGATAATGGATGCCTCCTCAGCTAAAAAAACTCCTCATCCTTTCTGGCCCCGGGACCTGGTGATCCCCTCCTATGTGGCTAATGATCGGTCCATGTCAGAGATTCTGGTGTTTCTCTTTTCTGTCTCTGGGGCTTTTCTACTTGTAACCTGGCTGATCACTGGGATCGCTGGCAGGCTGGGAACATGGAGGCGTCTGGCCGTCTGCTGGTTTGCCGTTTGCGGATTCATCCATAGCGTTATCGAGGGATGGTTTTGTCTTTATTATGACATTTTACCAGGGGATCAGAGCTTCCTATCACAACTGTGTAAGTACCGCCATAAGAAAAAAAACAAAGAAAACCATGTCAGACATGTGTTCTTGATTTTGAAGGTAATATGTATTCTGTTTCCCTCTTTCAGGGAAGGAGTACTCCAAAGGGGACAGTAGATATATCATGTGAGTCACAATCATTTTAAAAACACTGATTAAAAAAATATACATAAGTAAAATATAAAACTGAGGTGATATGGTAAGCTATTGCTGTTTTTTTAATCCTTATTTAGAGCTGATAACTTCACAGTTTGTATGGAGACCGTGACTGCTGCCTTCTGGGGTCCGTTCAGTTTTTGGACCGTTTATTCCTTTATATCTACCAAGTCCTACAGATTTGTTCTGCAGCTGATCATTTCACTTGGTAAGAAGCTCTAAGAACTACAAAATGCTCGAGTTTCTCGTATTTACACGTTGTGCCTAAATACATATTCTGTCACCAGGTCAGCTATACGGAGCGGTGCTGTACTTCTTCACGGAGCACAGAGATGGTTATGTTCACAGCGAGTTCGGACATCCAATCTACTTCTGGTTCTACTTTGTCTTCATGAATTTTCTGTGGATCGCTATTCCTCTGGTGCTCATTGTGGATGCGTGGAGACAGCTATCAGCAGCCCAGTCACTTTCAGACAGCTCGAAGACACAGAAGGTTAAAAGGAAGTAATGTTTGACGGGCCGTCAAAATGGGACATACAGAAAATGCATTTTAAAAGTTTAACAAATGCAAACTATCTGTATGTTGCAATATTGATCTGATTGTGAAAAAAGTGCCAGCAAACTATGTAATATCTGTTAATCAGCAGATATTGAAGCTTATGTTGATTAAGTGAGTATGATCTGCTATGATATATGACGGCACGTCTCTGCTGCTTGTGGAATATTCTGTGTGCACGAACAACTCCGTCCGTACCAGGCTCGGTCTGCACCTGCAGCTGCAAAATCTCGGAATAACAGCTCCTTGTTAGGAAGTAGGTCTGATGAATTGAAACCAAAATCATTTTAGTTACTTGAGCACACCGTGCTGGAATATTCCAAAAGCAGTGTATTGTGCAGCTTCGGTGTGTCTTAAATCTGTATAACTGCAGGTAATCAGAATGTATACCAGATCTGACTGAATCACCTTGCGGCATCTTTGTATGCATTTTTGTTGTTGGAGCTCCAAAGGTGCCATTGCATTTTATTAAAGTTTGGTTGATTTTGTCTTTGATCTCTCACATCACGAACCTTGGGGGGGGGGGCGGAGACGTGTGTGACCGTCTTCGATATAACCAAGCTATCTGAGGTCAAATAGCTCAAATATCTCCTATCTCAATGATTGCTGGAGATAGGCACCAGCCCCTTCGCAGTTATGCAACGATCAGCATGTTCTGATAATGAAGGGATGAGTAGTGCATTCTTACAAGTGGCAAAATCCTTGCCTTCTTATGCAAAGGGAGGCTGATAAGGCTGATTAGCTTTAGTACCATCTATGTTTTAAAGTCACTATTCAGTTCTTCTGATTCTTGCACTTCATAGTGCAAATTAGATTTTTGGGGGGCAAATATTTCTTTTTTTTTTGGCTCTACTGACATTTGAATCGACAAGAAAGTGGGTTGAGGGTGAAGACGTGGCAAAGGTCAACAGCCCAGGATTCAAACCTGTAGATGGGTTACGCACTTTACTCCTACACCACCATCATGCTTCTTGTGACTAATATTTTGAATAACTTACAATTATCTGATCCCTCTTCATAGTAATGCTGACTCCATGACAACTGTAAATACAAAAATTGACAAAGAAAAACAGATTTATCACTGTCGAATATTTAGTCCAACACTTTACTTTTTGCCACTGAGGTTATAAAACTGATCACATTTGAATATTTGTGTTTTATTTCCATATGCATTTGGAAAGAAAGCGCTGGATCAAATTTACACATGAAAATTTAAACTATGAATTTTCATAGGTTTGTGACCTCTTTAATGAGATACAAATTATAAGAGATAAAAGTACTATAAAAACGGTGTTTACTGAAACTATCATTAAATTTGAAAAGCATAGTAGCGATGTGCAGGAGTTGGTGAAAAACCTTTAACGTTTACAAAATGGAGGGCTGGATTTATGGAAACCTTTTGAGCAGTTTCCTCAAAAGTAGGTCATCTGAGCAGACTACGCAACCTGACGATGTCACGCGTCTTGGTATATGGAATCACGGCCTTACCAAACCCGCACGCCGAAATAGCTCAGTTGGGAGAGCGTTAGACTGAAGATCTAAAGGTCCCTGGTTCGATCCCGGGTTTCGGCATTTTGCTATTGCGTTCAGTTTTATTAATTTCTTGCGCCATCTTGTGGCCAGACACCGAACACTGTAGACATTCATTGAAGGCGACCATTTTACAACAATGAGCTCAGTCAGTCGTTCGTTTGGTTGAATATTTATTATGCCAACCTCCATTCAAGGAGATCACACATATTTGTAGTTATAAGGCTGCACTTTGTAACAGAGGTCGTGTCATAATTGCACTTAAGATCTATTTATGAGGAAAAACATTATTAGAATTATAACATTCTATCTTTAGCTAAACATTTTACTGAGTCTCAATCCCAGCTGCACATTTCTCTCCTTTTCTCTACTCATTATCTCTTTGAGCGCCTTCACAGCAGCAGGCAGGTCCGGCTGGATTTCCAGCAGTTTCTTAAATGCCTCTTTGGCCTCATCCAGCTCGTTCAACTTCTGGCACGCCTGGCCCAGGCGGTACCAGGCCTTGGAGGCGCCAGGTTCGAGCTGAGTCGCTTTAGCAGCATTGTCCCTGGCTCGCTGTGGTTGGTTTAATTTCAGCTGGCACAGAGACAAATTGGAGTGAAGCTCAGCTTTCTTGATTTTAAGCTGATCAGATGAAGGGATCTGATGCGTTTCTTCCAAACAGTTTGTGTCTTCCACCTCTCCAACGAGGCCACAAAGGGGGATGAGGAGCTTGAGGGCCCGGCTGTAGCTGTCCGTTGCTCCCCATATGTCCCCGCTCCTGAATCTACCGCCACCTCTCTCCTTGTGCAATTTCACCCACTCCCATCTTTCAGTGGGGGTCATCTCCCAGGATTCCTTTCCTGGAGTGAACGCTTGGAGCTCCACAGTGGCAACGAGAGGAAGGTCTCCATACGAAGGCTGGTGAAGAGAGGCTTCTGGTCCAGTTCCAATGGGTATAAGTTGTATCTGAGCAATTAGACACAATGATTAGACCTGTGATGAAACTGACAGAACAGATTTAACTTCATTTAAAGGGGGGGCGGACTCTCTAAATCCAGTATCCCTAGAACATCCAATCTTACCTCACATTTCTCCCCTGCTCTCATCCCCTCCAAACATGCCTCAGTGATATCGCACTGACCCTCCCCCAGCCTCAGCGTTGTCCAATCACCAAGCGGCACCTGCAGCACAGCATCCTGACGCCGCAGAATTGGAGTCGGCACCAAATCTGTAGCAGCAGTGACTGCCATCTTCTCATTTTCTTTTGTAGATGGAGGTCCATCGGAGTCATCGGTCTGAGCTTTGAGCTGCACTTTGACGCGACACAGTGAGCCCAGCTTCGGACACCCATTAGTTAGACAAGCTATGGGGAAAGAAAGAGAAAACGAGTTTGAAAAACATGCGCCTGTACACAGAAATAGTGTACAAAGAAATGGTGTACTGCTAAATATTAGTCATATTAAAAATGTTAAATTATAAGTAGAGATGCTAAAAAATAAAATAAATCAGTTGTTGACCAGAATTGGTCAAATTTCAACTTGATCAAACCTGACTCCAAGACTAGTGGATTGGGAATATCCAAAATCTAGTTACTTCCTCTCTTTAAAAATAAAAGCAAAAATATTTTTTTTCAGTTTTTCCCACAAATGTTTCCTCTTTTCCTAATACAATTGATTCCTTGTGACTAATTATTATATTGCTAGACAGGGGGGGAGGGGGAGTCAATACTGCGCTTATACGTTTCCAACATTGTAATCAACAGGTTACAGTACTATAAAAACTAGACATTCGAAATAGGCCACAAAATTCTGATCAGGGAAACTGTAACTAAAAGGAATGTCCTACATGCATCATCTGCTGCATTGGAAGAGATTTGTTGAGTCCACTCATGCGTCTCATTTCGCTGAACCCTCCAGAGGCCTCCAGGACACACAGAAACCCAGGAGGCGACATCAACAGCTTCTTGTTTATCGGGCTGCATTTCTGTCATGTCAACAGGCTCCATCACTGCGTGGAAAAAATATACAGACAAAATATAAAGATAAACAACTAGTTGTAATCATCTCTATTTTTAGATCACATTAAAAAGATTCAAAATATTTGGGGAAAAAAATGGCAAAGCTCCTGTTTTGTGGGAAAGTACAATTCCAGCTTCAGACACTGATGTATTTATGTAATCAACGGCAAAAAGAAAAAAAAAAGTGTTTTTTTTATTTATTTTATTTTACTATTATTATTAGAAATAATAATAGTAATCTTATTAGTCTAGTATTATTAGTCTGGAAAACATAAAAAGTCTTATCAGTTTTCTCACGTGTTGTTACTAGAGACATGTTTGAATGAAAGCTTTTTCTTTTAGAAGCAGTAATTTATAGCCATAATATAGATTAACAAAAAAACATCCATGACATGTTATTATATAAAACGAAAAAGGTAAGTTAGTTTGACTGGTACTAGATTTTTTTTTTTTTTTTTTTTTTGGGCGAAAAGCGCAGTGCTTTAGCAAAACGGCAGAGCAAATTAATAATAATAATAATAATAATAATAATAATAATAATAATATATTTTAAAAAGTCACACAAAGTTACCATACTATCACAACCACATAATGTCACTATTTGTTTGCATGGCTAAAATATAAGGTTAGGTATTGTAACAAGTTATCCACAGGGTTATTTGCGCGTTTAATATTGCACACGGTGAATTATATTATGCAGCTTTTTGTTTAGAGCAACACGAGCACAGAGAAGCGTACTAAACAACCTGCATTTCATCACTGTGGAAAAGAGTCGGACCTCAGGACTCCAAACACCCACCTTATCCCACACAGAGAAGTCAGTTTCCCCGTCCTTCACACAGTAACACTCCTGCAGCTTGTACCGGATAAATATTAATAACAAAAGCTCTTCTTAGTGCCCTGCCTGCCTCTTTCTCTTTGTGTTAGAGGCTGGCGTCCAGCTACACAATGTGTAGCACACAGTGTGGTGAGGATCATTACTGCCCTCTACCGAGCTGGAGTCTTCTTTCTGTTATATCAAAGGGAATTCAGACATTGGTAGCATATTTTCCTCTTAACGCTACAGTTTCCATTTCCATATCTATGCCATTATGTGTCTCCAGAAAAAAAAAAAAAAAAAAAAAAAAAAAACTATAACCTT